GGATGGGGGGAGGTCTCAGAACCAGGAGTGAGGGCCCCAGCCTTCCTGTGGACTACAGTAATTTATTTTCTTTTTCTTTCTTTTTTTAAGATTTATTTTGTTTCTTTGAAAGGCAGAGTGACCAAGAGAGAAGGAAAGACAGAACCAATTTCCATCCACTGGTTCACTCCCCAAGTGGCCACAAGGGCCAGGGCTGGGCCAGACCAAAGCCAGGAACCAGAAACTCTTTCCTGATCTCCCATGTCCCTGGCAGGGCCCAAGTATTTGGGCCATCACCTGCTGTTTTGCCAGGCCCATCAGCAGGGAGCTAGATCAAACACAGAACAGCTGGGACTCAAACCAGCACTCCAATACAGGATGCTAGCATTGAAAGCAGCAGCTTCTCTCACCATGCCACAGTGCCAGCTTCTACAGTGATTTCTTACTACCTCCCCTTAAAGAGCTTTCATTGTGGACCGTGGGCACTGAGAATCTTAATTGGGCTCATTGAACGGGGAGAGTTTACGTCCAGGTAGAAAAGAATAGAACAGGACTTCTCCTGAGTCCATGTCCAGTCTAGACCTTCACGTGGTTAGTGGCCTCTTGAGTCCTGGGCACTCTGGGATCCAGGGCTGGAAGCAAGACCAGAACCTGGCTGGGGCTTGCTCCTGGCAAAGTGGGCTGCAGGAAGACCTCCTGCTGTCATGGGATGTATTTCTGGATCTCTTGGCTTGTGGCCTAAATTACTGGGGTCTGCACCGAATCTTGTCCCCAAGGAAGGAGCTACCTGTCCTTAACCTCCAGACAATGCTGGACCACTGCAACCAGAATCCAAAAGGCCTTGAGATTCCCTGGTATTTGTGCTAGCCAACTGACTCTTGGCTTCTAGGCCGCATGGACACAAGGTGAGATTACAGTAAGTCTCTCCTGGGAGAGTAACCTGTAATTGTGAAGGAGGAAGTGACTGTGATTTCATGTATGGCTTGTTATATAGTGAATATGCTCAACAAAGAAATACCTATCCACTGTCAATCTATTTGTGAGTTTATTCTAACTGATTTTAAGATTGCTCCAGACGTTTACTTCCCATCTCAGAATTTTTATTATGACAGTGATAAACATTTTTATCTGGAACGTGAATTTTGTATTGGTGGAATACCATAGTTAATTAGACCGTAAATATAATTTACTCAGACAATAAATTCAATTCAGTGAAAATGATCCCTAATCTTTGTTCTCTAGCACATTGTGATGTTGCTTGTGTCGCAGCTCAGAAATCTATCAGAAAGCCTTGGGAGACAAGTAGCGCTGGGCCAGATGTGACTGGTTGTATGCTCTGATCCTTACCCTGTTTTGTTTTATGGATTTAAGTATCAGCTGTCTTTTGTAAATAATATTGTCCGGTGATTGATTCAGTGCATTCTTCCCAGTGGTGGCTGACTTCTCTTGGGTGCTTGACCATTTTCCGTTTTTGTTTTGCATCCTGTGCTGGGCAGCTGCACGACCATGGGCAGGAAGCATGTTGAGATGATTTTAGCCATATGTCCACATTAGCTGCCACCAGTCTGGCACATCTTTGAAGTTCTGAGCTTCCATGTCCTCTTTATTTGTAAAGCAGGGTAGCTGATTTGTTGTTATCTTAGAACTCTGTTTAACTTTTGTTTAAATAATTTTGGTTTATTGGTAGTTTGCAGGCAAGGTTATGTTTTATCTGCCTTTTGTTTCCCCTAGAAATTCCTACCTGGTCATCTGGAATAGCACATTTTCCTCTTTGCTACTTAAAAGGAAATGTGTATGGTATTTTGGTTTTACATACAATCTGTTGAGGAAGCTTGAAATACCTGGGATACTACAATCCATGCTTTTTTTTTTTTTTAATTCCATGAACTTTTTTTTTAAGAGATTGATTTATTTATTTAAAAGTCAGAAGTACACACAGAGAGAAGGAGAGGCACAGAGAGAGAGAGGTCTTCCATCTACTTGTTCACTTCCCAAATGACCACAATGGCCGGAGCTGCACCGATCCTAAGCCGGGAACCAGGAACTTCCTCTGGGTCTCCCATGCGGGTACAGAGGCCCAAGGACTTGGGCCATCTTTCATGCTTTCCCAGGCCACAGCAGAGAGCCAGATTAGAAGTGGAGCAGCCAGGACTTGAACCAGTGCCCATATGGGATGCCAGCACTGCAGGCGGCAGCCTCGCCCGCCATGCCACAGCACCGGCCCCAGTCCATGCTTTTTCACAGACTGCCTTGCTCTTCTCCAAGGCCAGGGCATCCTCTTCCAGTCTGGAAGCTGCTCTCAGCCACATTCCATGTGGATTGTCCACCATGCCTTTCTGTGGAGGATCTGGGATCTGGGATCAAACACCTCAACAGATTGTATGTAAACCATGCTTTGGCAGGATCCTGTGCTAATGACAATTTAATATAATATTTCAAAAAATAAAGCATAGGGGAGCTCTCTTATTTCCAGGACCTTGCCAGTGCTGGGGTCTTAAGTGATAATATCCTTATAGGTTACATTTTCCTTTCCTTCTTTTCCTCCCACCAAAGGGAGCTGTTTTATATGTTGTATCTGAGCAGGATGCCAAGAGTCCTGTTAATAAATGCCCCATTCATGGTATTAGTACTCACATGTCCCCAACTGAGTAATTTTGGCATTTGCTTATGTAATTGAGAAAGCATTAGGAGTTTTGGTTAACCTTGGTGTGATAGGAGCCCTCTTGTTTTTTAAACCCACATATCTGTGCTTTATAGCTTGAACATGTTAAAGGACTTATTTCTTTTTTAAAAATATTTATTTATTTGAGAGGTACAGTTGTAGACAGAAAGGTCTTCTTTCTGCTGGTTCACTCAGATGGCTACAACAGCTGGAACTGGGCCTATCCGAAGTCAGGAGCCAGGAGCCTCCTACCAGTCTCCCATGCCAGTGCAGGCCTATTCTCTATTGCTTTCCCAGGCAATAGTAGAGAGCTGGATCAGAAGAGAAGCAGCCAGGACTAGAACCAGCGCCCATATGGGATGCCGGTGCTGCAGGTGGAGGCTTAGCCCACTACACCACAGCACTGCCCCCCTAAAGAGATCAATATATGTTACCTTGTAGATGAAATCAGGGGAATCTATGGTGTTTATTTTATTTTATTTTATTTTATTTTATTTTTGACAGGCAGAGTTAGACAGTGAGAGAGAGAGAGAGAGAGAGAGAGAAAGGCCTTCCTTTTTCCGTTAGTTCACCCCGCAAGTGGCTGCTATGGCTGGCGCATTGTGGCCGGCGTGTTGTGGCCGGCGTGCTGTGCCTATCCAAAGCCAGGAGACAGGTGCTTCCTCCTGGTCTCCCATGCAGGTGCAGGGCCCAAGGACCTGGGCCATCCTCCCATATCTCCCACCATCCATCTACAAGGACTAAGGCACTTATGTTAGACATTGTGATTTCTGCCAGAGCAGCTCTCTGTTCTTTTAATTTCTAAATTTAATGAGATTTTTAAAAATTCATTTTATTAACTTATCCCTCTCACTCTTTCTAGTATGCTATTTTGAAACCAGAAATAATTCACTAACCATGTTTATGTCAGGACATAAATATTTATTATGATTATACTCATATTCCAGGTAAAGCCCATGGTAAACTAAGGCAAATATAGTGAAGAATCTGCACATGCTTGTTGGAAGTATGGTTTTCTCAGTTGTGATTGTCAGTGTGTTCATCTTGAAGGACAAAGTGCACATGGCACTCTCTCGCGAGGCAGGAGAGGGTGAATTACCCAGTCTCTGCTCTTCTGGTCTTCTCATACCCGGCTTGCCCACTCACCTGCCTCTGTTACTTTGTGTGGCCTGTGCTTGGGCTGTTCTTCTGAGAGAGCACCAGATCCTAGGATGTTCATGATCTACAGTGTGAGAAAAGCAACAAGAGATATAGCATCCCAGGGACAAAAGTGTTAAAATAATCACAGGGCAAAACTAGAGTACATTTCACACCTTAAAGGGGACTTCAAAAAGTTCCTGGAAAAATTAAATTATATTTTTAGTTGAGGGGTGGCATTGTGGCACAGCTGGTTGGGCCTATGATGCCAGATCTCATATTGGAGCTCAGGTTCAAGTCCTGGCTTCTCTGCTTCTGATCCAACTCCCTGCTGATATCCTTGGGCAAACACCAGAGGATGGCCCAAGTGTTTGGACCCCTGTTACCCATGCGAGAGACGCAGATGGAGTTAGAGGCTCCTGGCTTCATCCTCACTTAGCCTGGCCATTTGTGGAGAGAACCAGCAGATGGAAGATCTGTTTGTCTCTCCCTATCTCTGTCATTGTGCCTTTGGAATAAATAAAATAACTTAAAATATGTTATTTTGTTGTGAAAAACGTTTGAAATCTGTGTGTAGTTTTTTTAAATATATGATACACATTTTCCATGAACTTTTTGAAGAACTGTCTTCTATATAGTTTCTGAATTTTATTTTGACACTGTCTGGGTCCTATAGGAAGTGCCTGGGTCCTCCAGGGACAGTGTCTGGGGTCCTCCAGGGACAGAGTCTGGGGTCCTCCAGGGATGGAGTTCGGGTCCTCCAGGGATACTGTCTCAGTCCTCAGAGGACAGTGTCTGAGTGCTCCAGGGATGGAGTTGGGGTCCTCCAGGGACAGAGTCTGGGGTCCTCCAGGGACAGAGTCTGGGTGCTCTGGTGACAGAGTCTGGATCCTCTGGGGACAGTATCTGAAGTCCTCTTGGAACTGTCTGGGGTCCTCTGGGGACAGAGTCTGGGATCCTCCAGGCACACTTTCTGGGTCCTCCAGAGACAGTATCAGGTCCTCTAGGGATTGTGGGGTCCCCTAGAGGTCCTCTGATGTCTCCCAGAGGCTGCATCTGGAAAATTCCTGGTCACTTAACAGCTTTGAGGGAATCATTTTCCTGGATCCAGTGATAATGTTGCATGTGTATGTTTTGCCTCAAAAGCCGTATGTGGTATAGGTAAAATGCCATAAATCATTTCTTTAATTTGCTTTATTTTGTTAATTTTTTTCTTTTGTAGTATTTGTTGATAAAGTGCTGAAGAGACTTTTTCCTACTACTTCAAGTGGTCAAGAAAAAACGACTTCCCAGACGCCAGCCTCCGAGAAACCATGCAAGAGAGTGGCTCCTGAGACTGTGAAATCCAAGCCTGTGCAGTCTTTGACAGGTGAGGTTCGCTGCAGGTGACCTTAGGTTACAGGTGGTTTACTCTCAGTGCTCTGTGCCTATCCTGGAGAGCGTTCCCTCTGAGCCGGGGGCCTCTTATTTGGAGGTCAGCCTTGCAAAGGTGGATAGCAGGGATGGGCAGGGCAGGCATCATCCTACATATGCTCTAGTGATTCAGTAATTTACTTGGTCAGGGAAGAAGTCAGTGTTAGTACTTCCCAGCCAACGGCTAGGTTGGGAGCGGGCTTTTGTTAGGTTCATTTGCAAGCTGTGTTCTGGATGTGGACACTGGGGTAGGTGGACTCTTGGCTTGACCAAGCCTGGGCTGTCCTCTAATGAGAACATATGCCTCTTCCCCTGCACTATCACCCTGTCCCCAGTCACTGAATGGACCCCCAGTAGCCTCCTTGGTCCTGTTTGACTTGTTTCTCCTTGGTGACAGGCTCCTAATGTCCTATGTCCATTTGTCTTTGGCAGCCGTCTGTCCCAGTAACAGCCCTATACGAGATCGTGGGGGTGGCTGGAGCATCTAAACAACAGACCTGCCAGCTCTCATTTCTCAGCAGGATAGTATTATGAGCCCAGTGGGAGACACTAGCAGAGGCATGTAAGGAGCCCACATGAGGTACAAGCACATGTCAGTGAAGCCCCTTGGGACTCAATGGCACGTAAATACATAGAGCCAAACTCAGTTCCTGAGTACCCTTTCTCCGATCACTTCCATAGATGCCCTGCAAACCAATGTTTATAGCAGCTTTTTTCATAATTCCAAAACTTAGAAGCAACTGTAGCAGGTGAATGGATAAACTGTGCTCCATCTAGACATTGGAGTACTATTCAGTGCTAAATAGAAATGAGCTGTCAGGTCGTGAAAAGACACAGAGGAATCATAAGTGAAAGAAGCGATTCTGTAAAGGATGCATAGTGCAGGATTCCAGCATCCTGGAAAATCAAACTTATGAAGACAGTAAAATCAAAAAGGTCAGTGGTTGTCAGAGCCTCATGGGGGAGGGGAGGATGAATACAGAGAGCAGAAAAGATTCTTAGGAAAGCAAAACTATGTGTATGATATTCTAATTGTGGATACATGTCATATGCAATTGTCCAAACTCACAGAATGTATATCACCAAGAGTGACATGGACTCTGAGTGATAATGATCTCTCAATGCAGCTTCATCACTGGAAACAAATACACACTAGTGGGGGTGTTGTGGAGAAACTAGTATGTGTGGGGATAGGAGCTAAACATGAAATCTCCATACCTTCTGTTCAGTTTTGCTGTGAACTAAAACTGCTCCAAGAAATAAAGGCCTCTCCCACCCTGAAGAAAGGCAGGGGACATGCAGAGGATGTTTTGTACTGTTATGAAAGTCGTCTCAAAGATTTCTTGTTTTCACCCTGGAGTTTATTGAACCAACATTCTTAATTTTTTTTAAAAAAATTGATTTTTAGGGTCTGTTTTCCCCTTCCTTAACAAAAATTGTTTTGTTTTTGTTTATTGTTTTTTGTTTTTAAGATTTATTCATGTATTTGGGAAGCAGAGTTACAGAGAGAGAGAACTTGTATTGGCTGGTTCACTCCCTAAGTGGCAGCAATGGCCAGAGCTGGCTATAGTCTAGGCAGCTCATGTCAAGAGCCTTGGGTGATCACTGGCGTCATACATAAAATAAGAGTGTTAATTGTTAAATTTACAACAGAAGTCACTGTGTACTAACTTCCCATGTAGTGCCTCTGTCCTCAGAGTTGTATTATGAGAGTTTACAGTAAAACTTGTTCTCAAAGATTTATTTCGTTTTAGTGTATTAAGTGGAGGATATTCTTAAGTCTCGTAAGTTTTAGTTATGCCTAAGTGTCCAACTCCATTGCTTGTTTTCTTAGGTGCTTCCTTAATTGATGATAAAACTTATTCTCAAGGACTTACTTTCCTTTAATGTATTAAGTGGAGGATATTCTTATGTCTCACAAGTTATAGTTATGTGTAAGTGCTCACAAAAGATGTATCATTCTTGGGTGCTTCTTTAAAGTTAATCAAGTTTCTAAAAAAAAGTGAAATTAATTAGCTTTGAGATGCAGTGACTTTGAACAGCCCTTGTCTTGACTATTGAGGAACAGTTTTTTTCCCCCCATGCAAGTTGTTGAACTCTTTTACTTAGTATAGAGTTGGTCTTCTGTGTATAAAGTTAACTAAAAATGGATCTTGGTGGAGAATGGGACTGGGGATGGGAGAGGGAGGACGAGGGAAGGGAAGGGTAGAGGTGGCAGTGGGAGGGTAGTTATGGTGGGAAGAATCACAATATTCCTAAAGCTGTACTTATGAAATGCATGAAGTTTGTATTCCTTAAATAAAAGGTTTCTTTGGGAAAATTAAATCAAGCATTTTTAAAAAAGAGTAGCTTGAAAGGTTATAGAGGTGAGGACCCTTTCTTCTGCCAAGGATCATTTGGATATTTATAGCATCATTCATGGGCTGTACAAAGTTACCAGCGTAAAAATTAGCCTGCTGTACATTTATTCAATTTCAGTTCCTGCCTGTGGTTGCCTTGGCAGGGCCACACCAACTAATTTCATGGGCTTTACATGACCTGTGAGCCAGACGTTCCTCACCCTGGTAGAAGCTTGTTTTATCAAGCAAATGCATGATCCGAGTGGATGAAAGCATCATTGAGTATAAATGCAACGTTGATCACATCCACCAGTGTTCTGGGAGCTGCCCTGTGTGCACCGTAAGCCTGAGCTGTAACCCTGGCAGCGAGGGAAACTACTGGAGCTGCTGAAGTCTGTTCTGTCAGCACAGTGTTTGCAGTTTTGTTGTGTAACTAGAGCCCTTGTCCAGGTGGAGGTGTGAAAGCAGGCTGGTGACTGGTGGGACGTGTCCTGGAGAAGAGAGCAGAGGACAGGAGAGAGTGAGCTGTCACCCTGTCAGGGCAAGGTGCAGGTCCTTTCAGCTGCTCCCAGATCCTCAGTGACTGGCCTCACATGTGTGGTTTCTGAGGCGCCACTTCCACTGTGTCTAATGTCTTTCCTGTCCAGTAGTAGACATGGGTCAGATCAGTTGCATGGACATTGTAGACCCTTGGTTTGTAAGTGACCAAATCACTTGGCTCTGATGTGCCTAAAAGAGGTTTGAATAATGATGTAACATTGCAAGGGTCAGGATGTGTGTGCATGTCAGAGAGGCCTCCCACCAGCACCTGGAACATCAGGACTGCTGCTCCTGTTGTCTCTATACTCAAGCTTTATCCTGTCCTCTGCTCTCAGCACCATTCCCCTTCCTGACAGGGTGGGGATGGAGAATGAAGCTTCCTGCCGTTTCACATGGCTGTCGGCCACAAACACTGGAATAGGTGTCCATGAGGGTTTTGCCATTTCTCAGATGCCATTAAGCCTAACATGTAGCCTCTGAGAGAAAACTCCTTAACGTGCAATGACATATATTTCTAGATAACATTCACCTACCCTAAAATATATCATTTTAACCATTTCAGAGTTATAAAAGTCATTGATTTTTAGCATATTGTCAGTACTGTAGTCACTGCCTTCTTCTGATGTAGAACATTCTTATGACTGCAAGAAGAAACCCCTTATGTGTTAAACACTCACTCCTTATTCACTCCTCCCTTCAGCCCCTAGCAACCACTGATGTACTTTCTCTCTATATAAATTTGTCTACTCTATACATTTTGTATAAATGGAGTCATACAGTATGTGGCCTTTTGAGTCTGGTTTGTTTTACTCAATAAAAATAATGGTTTTTTCTTCTAAGATTTATTTTATTGATTTATTTAAAAGACAAAGTGACAGAGAAAGAGATCTTCCATCTACTGATTCACTTCCCAAATGGCCACAAAGCCAAGGTCTAGACCAAGCCAAAGCCCAGGTCTAGACCAAGCCAAAGCCCGGAGCTAGGAACCCTATACTGATCTGCATGAGTGGCAGGGGCCCACAGCCTTCTTAGGTGCATTAGCAGGAAAGTGGATCGGAAAAAGAACAGCAAGGATTTGAACCAATTCTCCAATATCGGATGCCAGCACTGCAAGCAGCAGCTTAACCTGCTGTGCCTCAATGCTGGCCCCAGCCTTATGTTTTTAAGGTCCATCCATGTTGCAGCACGTGTAGGGACTTCTTTCCTTTTCTGTGGCTGACTCATACTGTGTAGTGTGGACAGCTTATCCCATTTTGCTTATTCAGTTAGATATGCTCTTTGCCTATTAGTGCTAATGTTGCTGTAAAAATCCATGTGTATGTTTTTGTTTGGGTATGTATTTTCAGTTCTTGAGTATATACCTATGAGTAAAATAGCCGGGTCAAATGTTAACTATGCTTAACTTTCTGAGGAATGGTGACACTATTTTCCACAGCAGCTGAGCCATTTTACATCCCCATCAACTGTACACAAGTTCCCGTTTCTCCCCATCTTCACTGATACTTATTTTTTTCTGGTTTTTATTTGCTTGTTCGTTTTTCATAATAACCATCCTGGTAGGTGTGAAGTGGTATCTTGTTGTTTTGATTTGTTTCTCCCTGATTATTGATGTGTGTTGTCCATTTGTATATCTTCTTAGAGAAATGTCTATTTAAGTCCCTTGCCCATTTTTTTTTTTTTTTTTTTTTTTTTTTGCATCAGTGTTTGCCTTTCTGTTTCTGAGCTGCAGGATTGGTTATACATTCTGGATATTAGATCTTTATCAGATACATGGTTTGCAAATATTTCCTTCTATACCAAATGTTATCCTTTTTACTTTCTTGATAATATCTTTTGAAGCACAAAAGGTTTTAGTTTTGATGAAACCTGATTTATTTTTTCATGAAGTAGGGGTTGTTGTTAAAGAGACTTCTTTTCCTGTTGAATAGACTTGGCACCCTTAAAAAATTCAATTGGCAGGCCGGCGCCGCGGCTCAATAGGCTAATCCTCTGCCTAGCGGTGCCGGCACACCGGGTTCAAGTCCCGGTCGGGGCGCCGGATTCTGTCCCGGTTGCCCCTCTTCCAGGCCAGCTCTCT